AGGGCCCTGATAGGGGCAGGCGGATGATGGAGACCTCTGGCGGCCTGGACGTCTCTCCGCGGTCAACACCCTCAGGGAAGGGGCCACTCCCAGGTGCCGAGGGCCCTGATAGGAGGGCCCCATTCCCCCCAACCCCCCCAGGCACGGAACGCCCTGGGGGGAGCAGGGGGGAACCCCTGACGTGGCAGCCGCCGACACAGGGGGAAACCTTCATCAACCTCAAGGCGGATGTCACCAAGGCCCACAGGCGCATAAAAGTGCTCCAGAAAGACTGGAAATACCAGGTGGCCTGCATCCAGAACCGGTGGTGGGTCAATAGAGTGGGCACGTACGGCAGGGCCTCGGCACAACTGTACTGGGGAAGAAAGGCATCCTTGGTGCTCAGACTCTTGTACTACATCTTCCCTCAGGTGGACTGGCACTTAGTCTGTGTGGACGACTACTGCTGGGTCCTCAGATGCAGCAGGGCGGACTGGGACGCCACAGCCATCCTGGCCACTCTTCTGGCGCTGGGAGTCCCGCTTTCTTGGAAGAAGACGGCGCTCTCCCCGGTCAATACCTGGTTGGGATTCGTGGTGGACCCAATCACGCCCTGTGTGCTGCTGGCTCCAGTCAAGCACGTCATAATCCTGGCCACTCTCAAACGGCTGGCCCAGGGGGACATCTTTACCAGCAAGGAGGGGCCGGATTCAATGGGCTACTTCGGCGTGTCCATTGACGAAACTTTCCTCCAGCCCTTTTGGAGCTGGAAGAAGGCCTGCACCACTTCGGGCAGGCCACCGAAGCTGGTTCGTGCTCTGGCCATCCTTCTGGAGAAACTCTTCAACCAGAGGTTCCCACTGGCATCTCCATTTGCTCCCACACTTCCATGGACGGGGGCATCTGATGCGGGAGCTGGCAAACAGGCGGACCATGCATGGGTTGGTGGTTGGTGCTCGGACGTGCCCAACCCCGACAAGTCCCGAGTGAAGTGGGTCCAACACAGAATCACACCGGAGGGCGAGCCGTGGGCCTTCACTACTGGGGACCCGCAGCGGGCGATAGCGGCCTTGGAGCTCTTCGGCCTCCTCCTTTTGGTGAGGGCTGTTCTGCTTTGTGCAGCCGGCTCGGCTTCTCACACTAGGATTCTGGTTGCAAGTGATAACCAGGGAAACGTTTTCTCCCTGCTTAACGATTCCACTCGCAGGATGCCCAATGCGGCCATCCTCATGGAAATTGTGTTAACACTGCATGACCACCAGGTCATGTTAGGACCGTCGCATGTGAAGCGCGACTTTAACACATGGGCGGATGAACTTACTCATCCGGACCCGCAATTTCCGACTGAGAACCGGGTCTTCCCCTCAGTCGAAGGCGAATTGATCAAGCTGATCTTCGCTACTTTCCTTCCTCACCCATGATGCCGGGAGGGCATCCGGTGAGGTGGGAGGATTCCTCCCTCGCTGTGGGAGTGGCATCAATTCTACTCCCATCAGCTGCTGAGGGGAGCTGCCCAGTGGAGCTGGGCAATCCTCCCATTTTGGCACTAATCCTTATGCGGCGTAAAGGATGCACCGTTTCGCGATTAAGGTACCAGTAGCACCAATGTGGTGCTTTGAAGAGTCTGATAGAAGTCATTTGTCATTGAGGTCCACAGAGAAACATCATTCATTCCCTTGCTGGTTCTCGGTAGGGAATGCCCCGTCAGCTTTGGGAATGAACCGTTTGGAATTCCCTTAAAGAACTACATCCACGGGGGATGGAATTTGGAGTGCTCATTCCCGGGATTCCCTGAGCAGAAAGTTCCGGACCCTAAACCAAAAACCAGCCTGAATGAGGCCCCCTGGCTGGCTCGGGGACCGACCCCTTTTTCCTTGGGGTTTTTGGGACTGGGGATCCGTTTCAAGGGCTCGTGAGTTGAGACGGAGCGAGCACCTGCCACACCGCAACCAACTGAGTCCACGGGAAGTCTTCCGCTGGCCAGGGGCCCGAGCGCACAAAAATACGATCGCAGCCCGGAATCAGACGCGTTGGAATGATCCTGCAAAGGTTTATGTATGACCCTGCCTCCCACGAACATAGCAACTGATACAAGATACCATCAAGAGGAAAACCATCTTCCAGGTAGCCTCCCACAGCTGCTAGGTTTGTTGGAGGGAGGGTATCCCTTGCTTGCGTCGAAGCATTGTCCTTGCTCTAGGAAGAAGGAAGCAAGCTGAGAATAGTGCAATATGGCCAGACAGCTAAGAAGATGTCGCCAAACTTGCTTCAACTCGGGCTCAGTTCCGAAAGTCCTTCGCAAGCGCAAACACTTCAGAAGTATCCCAAGTTGCGATTTCGCCATGCAGGACAGGGCATACTCCATCGTTTACGAGTACAATGCTGGGTTGCCAAGCGTGAGCCCAGCGTGTCCAAGTCCAAGTTGGCTCTTGGCCGGCTGGATCGGCTCCAGAGATATACTCTTTTGGCATACTCCTTTGGGCAGAAAAACAAAAAATACCCTTTTTGGCCTTTTGGACAAGGTCTCTGTGTTTGCAGACTTTTTGTTGTGCGTGTCTCGACGAATGCAGGAAAAGAACGCCTGATGATCCGAATCCCGGCTCGTCAGACTGAGGGATAACCCTCAATGGTCTTAGCTTCAACTTCCGCGTGAAAGTCGGTGTTTGTGTTCCAGGACCTCAGTTTCTTGGCAGTTCCACGACAGCCGCTTTGGGCTGCAGGGCTTTGGTGCAGAGGGTTTATGTTCTTGCATTCAGAGACATGAATCTGAATCTTGCTCTAGGAGACAAGCCTCTTCCAGGCAACACTGAGGAACCCTCAAATTCTTGCTTCTTGCCGGCCTCTTCCCGGCCTCTTCCCGTCCATGGGCAAGAATGAGAGTTCCTGATATTTGCGTGTTCGTAAAAATTTGAGGGTTCCGAAAAACAGTGAGGGTTCCCAATAATGTTAGGCCTGAGACAATGAGGATGCATTTTTCTGCAGCTTCCAGCCACGCAAAGAAAGGAGGGAGCCAAGAATTTGGGGCCTGCAGACGAGGGACCCTTGAATTCTTGAGCTAGTCACGACCCGGGTAATGCAACATATATAATGGTTGAAACCCCCTCTTCAGCCCCTCAGTTTCTATTCCAGTGTTTTTAGAAACAGTGCTTGCGCTGTACCCGATCACATGTCGCCAGAGAGATTGGCACCCAGGAGGTTGGCAACGTGCATAGCTTGGACGGCGGCTAAAGCATGGCATGTGGTCACAGTTCAACGCTGCCCGGGTCTTCGGACCGAGCATGGGGGGGTTTTACTTAGGTTAGAGCACGGACATGTCCAGGGTCAACCATTCTGAGCGGTCTGCGCGCTGGACACCCCGACCCAAATCCAGAATATGAGAAGGATGTTCTGACTTCAGGCATCGACCAGTTGATAGAAACACACGTTTTGTCTGCCGCTTACGTCATTTCTCACGGACTCAACAATGTCGGCTTCATTTGTTCTCCTTGAACGTCTCTTTTGGAGCCTTCTTGATTTGATGTTCATGCGGAGGTGCTGATGATATCCTTCTTACCATACCCCTTGCGTTCTGAAACAACGTCAGAGTCATTACCTCCAACACACTCAAGGCTTTTTGGAGGACACTGGTCATGAGGGCAAAGATTGCAAGTTGGAAGTTGGCTTCTGGCTTCACCCATAAATTATCCTGTTCCCTGCGTTACCAATATTATCGTTGCTTTCCATGTGGTGTCGTTCGTCTTGCCTTTCTGGTTCAGTTCTGTGTGCTGTGAGAACAATCATCCGGGGTCTGCAACAATATTTGACAGCTGCATCTGAACTCTTCCAGCCTTCCCAGACAAGTATCTGTGACCGGACCCAACTTTAAACCCACAGATTTGCACGCAATGTTTGCAACTGATGGGGCATTTGGCTAGTTCCGTTGGAGTCGTGGTTGAAAGTCCCCAAGTACCAAACATATTTTGAGAGGTGAGACCCGCTTGGCTCCCATCCCACATGAGTGAGACTTGCTTGTAAGGCTCGGCTTTCTCCAGGCCGTGTTGGTGCCGCCCACATCTGGTTTCCTGAACTAGGGGTCCCAGCTTGGTGCCCCTTTTTTGCCCCCTTTTTGGGTTGGGAGGCTTCCCCCTACTAAAGTAGACCAGACCGGAAAAAAAAAAAAGTTGGTGCGCCCTATGCGAACCTCTCAACTGGAGGACCGAATTGGTCAGCTGGTGTACCTTCCGAGCCTCGGGCGCCGCAGGTCTGGGGGAGCGACGTGTCCAGGTCGGGCACCGGCCGGGTTCTCGGGCGAGTCCAGCGGGGAGTTCCGCGCCTTGCGGAACTGGGGAAGTGCGGCTTTTGAGTACCATCACCAGGCGGTTCTTCTTGTGAGGCATCCATCCCTTCCCTATGTCCTGTGCCTATGAAACCAGGCAAATTCCCTCCCCCCCCCAAAAAA